TTTGCAGATACATTTTGGGAAGAGCATGGGTCAGGAGTCGAACATGTTTTTATGAATTTTGATGGCCACATATGTGTACCAATTACAACAAATAGATAAAAATGATAAACAGCTAGATAGATGAAGCTTTTCTGTTGGGCTCATTCGGAGTCACGGCGCGTCTTTCCAGATGGAAGGTGCTAGTAACCTAGCTCTCTTTCCTAATCAGGACAACACAGTCTCAAGAGAATACTGATCGGAGAGAGATCTAAAGAAGATGAAAACTTTGATCATGATCCAATCCATAGTAGACTACTACAAGCTTGCCTGTTATTATTATTATTCAAAGAGTAAGTATACCTGATTCAAGAAAGAACGTAACATCTGGTGAGGCTCTGTTGGGTTTGTTGGTGAATCTCCAGGGCCGGCGATCCTGCCGCAGCGGAGCCTCAGGCACGTGCCGTCCGCCAAAAAAACATCATCCATCTCAGCTCCAGCAATCCACCCACTTCCCCCCGATTGTGCTGTCCGGCCCTTTACCTGTTCCTTCACCACCTCCCTTTCTTGTCTTACTGGCCTGCTTTATTACCTCTCTGGCCTCATCTTTCATCTACATATCCTTATAGTTTGACCCCGCGTTCTGCACAAGGTTCGTACCACGTCTCGCCCAACCAACCCTTCCCCGATCTTTTGCGCAACGTCCAACTTCCGTCGTACACCACGCTGATCCTTCGAGCACAAATAGTCGCCAAGCTTCGGTCTACAATTACCTTATCTTAGCTTCCAGTGTCCCGCCTGGGGCGTTAGGATGGCTGCTTAGACGGGTGCTCGCCCCCCAGTCTGCTTCCTTTCGCTTCTTGACCTCGTATGGCTCCCATTGAGGCAACGCGTGGCTGAATAGTCAAGGCGACTCTACGACTGCCTGGACATGATGAACCATCATATGCCCGCAATGCCCCATGGGCAGCCACCCATGCCTACTCCTCGTCGACAGCAAGATGTTCCTTACACTGCAGCTCCTCCCAACATGCGATCCCCTCCTGCCTACATGGGGTACCATCCCCATATGAACGGCCACCCTCCCCCGGCCGCATACTCGCCCCAGCAATACCCTCAATGGTACCCACCTTATCCTGCCATGCAGCTCCCTCCACGCCCATACCAACACCCTTACGGACCGATGTATGTGTCTGCCTACCCGCCCTCTCAGCCTATAATGGCGCCGGCCCATATTCCTCCCGTGTCTCTTCCCATGCAGCCGAGGACCTCCACTCCTTTACAAAGCACCATGTCTCCGCCTGTCGGACTTCCACCTTTGCCCATAACGCCTCAAGCACAGTCTCCCGTCACTGTTCCTGTGCACCCGGCGCCAAGTTCCGCTGTGTCATCGTCCCCCGCTCCTGCTCCTGCAAAGGTTTCTCCCGAGCCCAGGGAGCCTTTCCGCCCACCGGTAAGTGGTATAGACTGGCACGCACTCAGTACTTCGCCTGACTTAAATCACCAGCTACCTTGGCTTTCCGTTCCCGGCCACCCTTTCCCTGCTCGGATCCCGGGCAGACGTAGGAAAAGCCGTCTTCTCCCTACGTCATCTGTGTCCGTCGAGCTTCCTACCAAGGAGCCTCACCGGGCTGACCAGCCTGAGAGACAAACCGAAGTTAAAAGTCTGGAGCCGGAACAGTCGCCATCGGAACCCCAAACACCAACCTTGTCCGCCGCGCCATCAGTTGCGAATTCGACACAACCCACAACTCCATCTTCAGTTGCACAGAACCTCCCTCTGCGTCCTCAGTCGCAGTCCAAGGGAGCCAAACCGACGATCCCGGTAGTCCCCGTGGTCCCAGTCGTTCCGGCGCCTAGTACTCCTCGTCAGGCTACCAAGGATGAGTCGAGTCGCTCGTCGGAAACCCCCAAGTCGGTCAGTGGCACAGCTCAGGAGAAGACAAATGAGGACACTCAGGAGTTGTCCCAGAATAAGACGGAGGAACCTGTTAAGCAGGCCTCGCCTGCCCCTGCAGCGCCAAAGTCGTGGGCGGATTTGGTCCGGTCAAAAGCACTCGCTAAAGGAGCAAGTGCTCCCAACGCGTCGCCTGCTGTGTCAAACGGCGTTATCAAGCCCAAGAGCGAGTCTCTGGCCGACGTCTTGACGACACTAGGAGACGATGTGTCACAGTATAGCGATAAAGTTGCCTTTCTCCAACCCAGAGGACTCGTGAATACCGGCAACATGTGCTACATGAACTCTGTATGTTTATCCAAGTTGCCAGCACGAAGTGCTACTAGCTAATGACTTTCCTCCAGGTGCTCCAAATCTTGGTTTCCTGCGTGCCGTTCTACCAATTTCTGGATCATATTGGACGGAGGGCGTCCCACAGTTTCAACAGCGACTTTCCGATGATCGACGCGTTGTGAGTAACCTGATTTTCTCCATTCTTAGTTCCTCGGTGTTCTTCTTGTCGTTATTCGTCAGTCTTGCTAACCCCTTAAAGGATCATGTTCATGAGAGAGTTCCGCATCATTGATGCTGCACACACTGAGGAACAGCTGAAGCTCAGGCTGAAACCAAACGAGCTCGAGGATTACGGCGAAGCCTTTGTTCCGGAATTTGTTTACGAGGTTATCAGGCAATTGCCACGCTTTAGGGACATGCGGGTAAGTCTGATTCATTCCCTAATTTATGGGTCCATGCCAGCTAATACGTAAAATCTTTTCTCATTACAGAGAGGCCATCAGCAAGATGCTCAAGAGTTTTTGGGCTTCCTTTTGGAAGAAATGCACGAAGAGTGCAATCGTGCCGCCAAAGATGCCCCTGCAATTACCTCGGCCTCTGCGAACCCCGAGGCAGAGGTCGCAAATGAAGAGTCCGGCGATGGCTGGTTGGAGGTCGGTCACAAGCAGAAGGCTGCTGTTACGCGCTCATCTGGCCATATTGCTTTGGAATCGCCAATTACGAAGATCTTTGGTGGAAAGATCCGGTCAGAATTCAGGGTGCCTGGTAACAAGACTTCTGTGACCCTCGAGCCCTACCAGCCACTTCAGCTTGACATTGGAGCTCCTGAGATCAACAATATTGTTGATGCTCTCAAAGGACTCACTAAGCCGGAAAGCATTCAAGGGGACTTCAATTCTTCCCGCGGTCCCAATGTTACAGCGACCAAACAGATCTTCATTGAAACTATGCCGCCAGTTCTTATCCTTCACCTGAAACGATTCCAATACGACAGTGTGACCAGAGGCACCCAGAAGATCTGGAAAAAGGTTGGATACCCGCTCGACCTGGAGATTCCTCGTGAGGTCTTCCCGCCCAACAAGCGCAATATCATGATGGCGCAGGGTGGCCTGCCCAAGTATCGCCTCGTCGGCGTCATCTACCATCACGGCAAGAACGCTAGTGGCGGCCACTACACCGTCGACGTCCGTCGTCAAGACGGACGTGAATGGATCCGTTTGGACGACACTCTTATTCGTCGGGTTCGGAGTGAGGATGTTGCGCAGGCCGGGGGCGAGGAAGACCCCAAGGTTCTTGCGGCGGCGCTCGAGCAACACAAGCGTGACGGACCGAATGCCAATATTTTTGATCACATTGACCAGGACGACTTGGAGCAGTCCGATAATGAGAGAGGCTGGAGCCAGGTCAACGGCGCCAGCGGCCATTCAAGCAAGAAATCAACCTCAGGTGCAGCTTCAGCACCGTCTTCCGGTGTCCGCACTCCTCTTGGACGGTATGGATCCCGAGATAACAAGGTGGCTTACCTGCTATTTTACCAACGCATCGATTGATTTGGCATTTTCTGGAGAGAATCAATCTCCAGGAGCGACCGGTGAACTATCGAGACGAGAGAGAAAACCAACAAGCGCAATTTGCTTCTTTACACCCTCCCGTCCTCTCCTTATTTAGGGAGAGGCCACAGCATTCCAATGCTGCCTGGTGGTACGCCTAATGTGTTCTGGCGCCTACCCAAACACGTATCAACCATATACACTAACTCAATTTTTGTCTGTCGACTGCGCATACAACATGACATCGACCCGGCGGTTCATTAGAGGTCCGTGTTTTCACCGACCATCAAGGGTCGCTGCTGCGGAAGTGGAACGGATATTTGGGGAGTTGTTGGGCCCTTCTTTCCGACTATCCGGACAACTTCCGTCGCGCAAGGACCCCGTCTTATTTGCTCGCGTTTAAATCTACACCAATGGTGGGCATTTCCCAAACCATTGCTGTGTGCTTTGCTTTTACTTGTCATTATTTTCCCGTTCCCTTCCGTGTTCCTGATGACATTTTCCCTGTAGCTTATCCATCTATCTCGCTTATGATCTTGTGTGTTCGCGGTGCTGTATCTGGTGAGATGTCGCTCTGATATATACCCCTAGTTTCCTCGCATAGCCCCTTGGTTTGCCTCGCTGATGCAGATGGGTTTTTTCTTGATGTGGCGTGGACGGGTTTATAACGACTGCATGATTTTCCTTTTCTCCCCCCAATAGACATGTCTATCCAGAAAAAAGAAGGGCTGTGGAATTTTTGGTCGGCGGCTGGCGTGCATGCTTTATTTGAACGAAGTTGGAGATGAGGAGTCCGGAGGATGGTGATGAGCATGATACAACAACGCCTTATGATGGAGTTGAGTTCAGGTCAAATGATGGGATCTACTGTTGATTTTCTTTGACTCCCAGATGATTTTGGGCCAGTTGTGGTGCAGCAGATCCGCCCATCATGGCTGGTTATTCTATGTCTTTTTTTTCTTTTCTTCTTGTTTCCTCTTTGCACCATCACACACAAACCTTCGTTTCAACACAAATCACACATATTTTTCCTATACTCTCTCACTATCATATTAATGACGAGATACGGCGGATTGCAAAATAGGGTAGTCATCAAAATCAAGGCATGGTTTAGGGTGGGATGAATATTCATTTATTTGTTGATCTATTTCAGGCACGACTTGATAAAAAAGCATGTTTAGGCAATATTATTATACTTATAAAATGATGGGCTTCTATCACTTCAACTAGTAGTAGTCATCACCCACACCATCACGACAGTATGTATATTCAGCTAACTAGTAGTCTATGTAGTGAACTAAGATCTAATGAATCACTGTCACTAGATGCTGACTAGTAGGCAGAACGTCTCTTTATACAGTATCACGTCTCTCACTCCCACACATCATCCCATCTATACACCGTCCATCTATCTCTATACACCGAACCATCCATCCACAAATCCTCAGCTATACACATCCCCCTCAACTCTAACATTCATCGTATGTGCAGCCATTCAGCTGCATCATCACCGCAAATACAACACGAGCATCATTCTGTGAATAGAGACCAATCACAAAAGATCTCCATGCAGCTCCAGCCTCAGCTCCAGCTCGCAACAGCAAGGATTCGTCTCCGAATCCTGCCCAGATACATCTCCAAGCAGACTAAACGTGCTGTTCGACTGCCGGAGTCGGACTGTTACTGTTACTGCTCTCTTGTGGACTATCCTGCTCATTCTCCCGAACAATCAGGTTAACAGGTCGAGCAGGTTCATCCGCAGTTGCTGCTCCGACCTGGACTTGCTCCTGCGAAGAGGTGGTCCGAATAACAGACCGACCGATCTGGAAGACGGCCGGGTCGGGCGGTTCCCGTCCTGCATGACCGCGCTTCCGGTTCCGGTTGTTCGTGGGACCCACGCCGCGTGTCGCGGTACTGTGCGTATGTTGCACATTGGCGATCGGTACGGGGTCAGGTTCAGCTATGGTGCTGGTGCTGAGGGCTTGGGAGATTGTCCGGGGGAGATGGTAGCCGGCTTTTGCTAGGGGGATACAGAGGCCATGGACGATCTGCGGAAGGAGTCAGATTATATAACAGGTTGGTGGCGTCAAACTTACGATGCTGCAAATGACCAGGAACCAAACTACGACGTTCACGGCCTCGGACACCTTGGCGGCATCTTCGCGGACTTGACCATCGACGGTGATTTGGTTCAGAAATTCCCGGCTGACCGACAGGTAGAAGACAGCTCCGACTCCGATAGGTCCGAAGAAGCCAACAAATGCTGCCTGGTAGAAGTGCTCGATTTGGTGGATGAGCTTGTGCATGGCGAAAATGATGGGCATTCGTCGGACTAGCAGGATTAGGATCCCTAAAAATATCAAGCGATAGATGGGAATCACGCTGTTGTTCAGGAACGATGACCACGGGCAGACAGCACCGAACCACATGAAGACCGCCAAGTTCAGCAACATATCAATGGTTGGCTGCAAGGAGTCATCCATGGTTTCCAGGCGAAACCAATCACTACCTTCGTCAGCAATGGAACCAAAGCAAACGAGTGTGAGTGCCTTACTCTTGCGTAAACACATTGCCGGCAACAAAGCAGGCCAGGAGATCATCGGTCCCTATCAACCCACATGTACCGATGATAAATAACTGCGTTCGGTTAGCAACGTGGAATGGCCGAGAGAGGAATTCAACCTACAGAAAGAGCGATAGCGAACACAAGAAAGCTCTCCCGATCAACATAATGCTTCTCCTCTGCCCAGTGAAGCAGCTTACGGGAGAGCCACCCAACTACGATCCCGTAGACAACACTCAGGATCACAGTATAGACCCAAGTTTCATAGAACCACAGGCCTATAGCTTTGCCAGCGCCTCCACTGTACCCCTCGCCGCCCATTCCAATGTACTTGAGCAGATACAATCCAAAATAGAGAAAAGGATAGCCGAGACCATCGTTGGCACCTGACTCGGCCACAATAATGCGCTGCAAGGGCCTCGGCACATTCTTGTCGGCAAATTTCCCCTTTACGATGGAATTGGACAGGACGGGGTCGGTAGGAGTGATGCACGCACCCACGACAAGGGCATGGAGAAAGGGAAAGTTCGGTACCATCGCCCAAATGACCAGGCTGCTACACATCCACATGGCAGCCATCCCAGGGCCCAAAAGGAGCGACAGGCTCTTCCATTCTATCTGCAAGTACCGTTTGGGGAGCTGAACCCCGGCAAGGACTAGCTGGACCCCGAGAACGAGACGGGTGAAATACAGGGTGATCTCTTCTAGATTCTGCTCGGAACCAAGTGCATACTCTTGGGGTCTTATGAAGTTGGCTGCATGAGGGGAGAAGATCACTCCAGCTAGCAATGAAATCACTGTACGACGTCAGTCATCCACCGTCTAATCAGCGACGACACGCATAGCCGAGGAGAGATCGGGAGTAGCGGGAGGAAGCTTGGAAAGGCAGGACGGACATGCTTCAGAAAGATAAAATCTCTCCTTGAAAAGGTAGGACACCAGTCCGAAGACGGATATGAATCCTCCCAGCGTCGCACAGACGATGTTGAAGTTAATCAACGATAGGGTAGGCATCTTGCCGTTGCGCTCCCTCAGGTGCAGTGCACAACGTCTATTGCTGATTATGGCTTGATCCCAAGCAAAGGATACCGGAATCCTGGAGGTTTACAAACTCGCTATCCAGCTGGAGCGCGGGGTAAAAGAAGGTAAAATGGGGGGGGGGGGGGGGGGAGGAAATAAAACAATCAAACCAAGTCACAAGCACGTGTTATTCAATCATAATAGTATAGATATCTTTGATGACAAGCTCTCCTGGCATCGGAAGAATGTGAGATTCCTCCAACAGCTGGATCTTTAACAAGGCGAACGTCGTCGTCAAGAGCACGAGTTTCCAGCCCGATAAACTTCGGGGGGTGGGAGGAAGTAAAAAAGGGCGGTACGAGAGACCAGACACGAGGCAAGCAGACGCAGGCAAGCACAGACGCGACGAATGACCTCGAACGACGATCAGACTCGATATGAGCGACTTTACGCCAGAAGCGATGCGAGGATGCAGCGGTACGTGGGGAGAGTGGGAAGGAAGAGCGAAGAAAAGCTAATCGGGGAGAGGAGAAAAAGTTCCGGGGATCCCAATCAGTTCCATTTTGGTTTGCTAATGGCCCGTGCCGCTTTCGGGTAAGGCACACCCTCGTGGTATTACTTTATGTCCTACTACTCTACAACCGACCCTTTCTTTCAGCTGCCCGTCATACAGGTCATATCACCTTCAGTTGGCCCGGATCGTGCCAAGTAAGGCATCAATTCATGCTGCAGTTCTAGGTCAACTTTCTCTCCCGCCCGGGGGAAGAACACGTCATTTCTTGAGACCGACATGATAGAAGTCACGGATCGCATCACAACAGTCTACTCAGTACGTCGACAAACAATACCCATCGCCATCATTGATCTGTCTCTGAGAGCATCTACGAGGATACCTCGCGATTGGTAGCTCAGAATTCGTCGTCATCCTCCTCCTCAAAAGCCTCGTCCGGAATGTCCCTGACTGCTTCCAATGCTGCAGCCTTCTCCGAGACTCCTCGTCGAGCACCACTCACCGCCAGACGATCGGCGGCCTCATTCCCAGGGTGGGAGCTATGTCCCTTGACCCATTCGAACAAGGTCTTCACCTTCAGCTCATTGCGTTCTTCGATCTTCGAGAGAATAGATTCAACCAGGTCCTTGTTGTCCACCGGCTTGTTGCCAGCGGTCATCCAGTTGTTGCGCCGCCACTTTGTAAACCACACCGTCACACAGTTGATCGCGTATTGGCTATCTGTGAAGATGGTCACGTCCCGATGTCGTGGAGCTATGTCAAGCGCCCGGAGGATGGCCGTCAGCTCGGCACGCTGATTGGTCTGGCGACTACCTTTGAGGGGCTCGGAAACATTTCTGCTGGGAGAACAGGCGTCAGTATTAGCCAAAGGTAGACCCTCTCTGGGATAAAGACGATGCGACAACGCTAAGGTGAGCGTCAGGGGGGACAAACCGGGAATCGCCAGGTCCAAAGTAAACCCCAACACCCGCTGAGGCAAGCGCTTTGCCATTTTTCAAGGAGCTACCGTCCGTGTAGATGCGCAGCATCCCCGGCGGACCAGTAGATTTCACCTTGGTCGCGGCCTTCTGGTCCTGTGATTTATAGACCACTTTTCCTGTTTTGGGATCCAACAATACATTGGGGTCAAACCCATCCTCCGCTCCGGTCGGCAGAGGACCAGTGCCCGCCTCAAAAGGTATACCCTGCGCATCTGCAAGGACCCCGTTCATCATTCCCGGTGCACCGGCGAGCTTCTGCGATTCCGGGGTCTTTCCGAACGTGGCGCCGGATCCTTGGCCTTCCCTTGCAAACTCCTCTGCCTCCTCCCTGGTCGAGAATTTCTTGTAACGCGGCTTGGGAAAACCTTTGATCTGCTCCTGCGCTTTTGCCCAGTCCGTATAAACACCGGGTATTCGACCGCGCTGGACACCGTAAAATCTCGTGGGTTCAGAATCCAGGGGAGTGCCGCCGCGCGCAGCGGGCGCACGGGTCCCGGTAAGGAAAGCATTTGCTTCTTCGTAAGAAGGGAAGGCCTGGACTGAAAGAACAAGTCAGTTTGAGGAAACTGTCAGAAATGCGGACTATCCGCGAGTTACTCACAGACAGCTCCCTTGTACCCGGTAACCTGGGTCAAACAATCGTGCCAATCATAGTAAACACCGGGCTGGTAGCCAGCCTTCACGGCATAGTATTTCGCCGCGGATGCGCGCTTGCGTTTCGTTCCGGCCGCTACTGAGGGTGATTTCGAAGTCGGAGATGCTTTCGTGGCGGGACCCGGAGTGGGAGAAGGGGTGGTCGTGGTGTCGTTCATGACGTCGTCCCCGCAATCCGGCGCGGTCGAGAGGAAGGTTTTTAGGAACGAGGAAGGCTGAGAAGGATAATTCGAGTAGAATCTCTTCGGAAGATTCCTGTCGCGCGGATCAAGTGAACCAGATCCAGGGGCCAGAGATCTCAACCTGCAGCTCGAAATGGAACACCTAGGTCCCAACTTCGAAGCTGTCAGGCAAACCCAAGTGAGACGCGTGATGGGAACAATCCGCTGCTTTCTGACTTGACCCTATCACTTATGATTTACAAAGATTGAAATCTGGGCGACGTTGTTGAGAAAGGAGTTCAGACAAACGCGGGTCTAAAGTTTTGGTGGACGAGCGGGGGGGATGGCAGAGAGGTCAGAGGGAGGAGAGGGGGGGGGGGGGGGGGGGGGGGGGGGGGGGGGGGGGGGGTGGGGGGGGGGGGGGGGGGGGGGGGGGTAAGTGTGGTCTACCCCCATCATCAAGCAAATCCCCGACCATAATGCGGCTGGATCCGATGCGCCTTTCAATGGTGTCCCAGCTGACCCCAGTGACAGGCGCACTTTTCTCTGATGGTGCTCAATCATTCTCAAGTCTAGAAGTAACTTGAATATTGTCAGGTTTGTTAATCATCGATGGTCAACAGGGACAGGCCTGGGTCGGATTGTGGACCCAACAGGGGTTCAGGCATTCGGATGGACGCATTGGTTTGGAATCGCTGATCAGTCTGGAGTCTTGCCCAGACGATGTTGAAGATGCATGAACGGAAGTCAGAGGACTTTTTCCTACCTTGTTCTAGTGGTAGCGCGATTGCCTGATTGAACTGTGGTCTCTTCCTCCTGCTGCTGGCTCTTGTCACGTGATTGGTGAGTAGATCGGTTGGTCAGAGACTATGGATATACCATAGTCACTCGGAATACTTAAGGATTTCCAATCAGTATACTCTGATTGTTATACTTAAGGGTTGAGGTAAGTCGCACAATTCAGAGCAAAGTATGCTGTGAGCAATGAATTGTGTTGTAGGCCCAGTACTTATATTGTACCTACTAATCACTATTGAATATATACTTAACCGTACTGAAAGCCAACTCTCAATTTAAACCTAAGTAGTAGCTAGAGTAAATGAAGTACCCCATTGGATTCTGTTGTAGCTCTTACAGACACCAATACTTACTAGTCATGCGTTCGATTGGTAGTGAAGAGTTTCAAGACCGTTTGTGCAAACGTTTACTTGACCACAACAACCTTCAGTATGTGACCGATAAGTACGGTCACGGTCTTCTTGAGTAAAGTGCAAAAATGGGCTTCCTGATTGCCCAAGTGCCATTGACCTAGTATTTGGTGATGGCAGTGTCAAGAATATGATTTGACTGTGGTTGTTCTTCTTGCCAGACACTGTCCAGGGCGCCATGCCTACGATTATCACCGGATTAACACGGCTCCATGGTTGCTCTGCATACCCATCTTCTGCCATGAAGGCGACATCAGCATCTTGAAGAATAAGCATCATAAGACCAATCTCACAGTGGTAGCAATTGACATACAATATCAATGAGAAATGGAGGATTTTGACTGCGTGATTGCTCCCATGAGTGTTGTCTCCCTAGATTATACGTCTCCAGCACCTAGTGGAAGCAGATAAACTACTGCAATAATGTGTGCAGCAAGCTAATCCTGTCCACGTCACCCAGCCACGAATTGCCCCTGTGGGGAGTTGGGTCCAGTGGGGGTGAGTACCCTGGCTGGCTACTTGCGGCAACCAGAGTATTGGAACTTCGGATATGGATCGCGGTAACCATATAGAGATTCTATTATTGGTGGAGGCAAAACACAGGAGTCATGGAATATGACTGATTTTCGTAGGATTTTTGTATTTGCTATCGACAAATAGTTGTTGTAGTGGTCCGACTTAGATTATAGGGCATCTGGATGTGTCAAATCTGACGCTGAGAGCAGCCCCTGGAGTTTGCATTCTGATCAAACCCACCAGGGAGAAACACATGATCTGTTTCTTGATTTGGTCTCAATCCTCTCCCTCATCTTCCTCCCTAATTCACCGTTTTTAACCAGATTGAGTTGACCAAGCAAGGAAAGGCTATATGAGACGCCATGATTGTTTCGTACAACCTGACAGAATATCTGCCATGCCCAGATGACTACTTCGGCAAGACTTCGGAAGAAGAACATCAGGGAACTAAACTAAGCAATGAGTTCGCGTTACGAGGCTTCTTCGCACCCACAATGCCAGACTTAACAAACGGACTCCGCCTGTTTGAAACTACGCCACTTAAGACTTGTTTCGAGCTTAGAAGCCCCTCGTTGGATCCAGGCCTAATCTACTAGGAGAAATGTTCCTCTGAGAAAAGGTGCATATGGTTAGTGTTCATTCTCGGTGTAGTTCCGGGTTGGATTAACCAGCATTCCTGTTATCAGAGCAAATCCCGGCCATTTTTTCAGTTCCCACACTTCCTTCAACGCGAGACCCACCACCTCAGCCCTAGTGCATGTCCTCGAAGGCTTAGCATCTCTAATTTAGTTCGATGGCTATTTACTTACCCTGCCCATGGATTATCGCCTGAGAAAGGGACCAGTCAAGTAAAGGATCCATCAGGGCTGACGTGAACCCTCAAGGGTTTTCAAGAGCACAAGCAATTTGCCCTCCGCCGGCACCTGTTGGCTTTCCCTGGGTCTTATTATTGTTTCCTACTAAGAGGGAAAAAGTACCCGAGCCTGATTCTTTATCCTGCCGACTAACAAGAAGCTTGTGTCTCCCAAATAAGGACCGGTGCATACATGGCAAGATTCGTGAACTAATGTTCACCTTTTTACAGTGATATCTCTCAGGCGAACCACCGGGACCAATTAGCGCACAATCCCCGAAGGCATGTCGGCAAACCCAGCAGAGGGCAAGATGACGCGTTGCCTGGGGTTAGACTGTCGCCAATCACCCCCGAAAGGGCCGAACTTATCGTGTCATACGGGACGCCGGCGGTTTCACGAGCCAAACACCAAAGACGTCGGGATTTCCGACTTGGCATCCCGGAAGCCGTATATTCAGGACAGGCACGCTATCTAGGAAAGCTCGCGGTCATTAGAGTAGCCGTACGTAAGATGCGTGGATATATCAAGTCCACTGACCAGTAAATCGAGGATGATACGACTCGTGCCGTACATCATTCCTCACAAGGGGTCGGCGCAGGTCTCACAATGAGGATGCTCTAAGTCCAATAGCAGAGGATAAATGGTACAATAAATGTCCACCTTGATCTGAAAATCTGGATCGTTTGTTCTGAGATAACCTCACTCACTTCCTCTAGCAATTCCCTTACTGTTAATTTCGTCACTCATTGTTATTTCCTTTTGTCCCTCTTTATATGGACCCTCAGTAAAATGAAAGTCCTCTCCTTCATCGTGGCCGCGGCCCTTCTGGGCCTGACTGGTGCGTCTTCGAACTCCAGCCAGGGGCTGTTGAAGTCAGACGGTGGTAAGTACTGGACACTCACCTGTACGCTTTCGCTGAGTCGGTCCGCTCATGTCGTATACAGTGGCCCTGGGAGACTGGGACTCCGCGTACCAGAAGGCCTCTACCTTTGTCGCAGGCCTGACCACTGATCAGAAGCTGGCTTTGATCACGGGCAGCAGTGTCAACTCCACTAATGGCAGCTTTAGTGGCCTTACTTTCCTCGACGGTGACATGGGTCTCCAGAACTTCTACTATGTATCCGCTTTCAGCTTGTCTTCAGCACTTGCTATGACCTGGGACCGCGATGCCATCTACGCACAGGGCAAAGCGGTCGGTTCTGAGTTTTACAAAAAGGGAATTCAAGTTGTCGCTGGCCCGACTTCTCAGCCATTGGGACGTACGCCCTGGGGTGGCCGTAATGTTGAGGGTTTTGGCCCCGACCCTTATCTTAATGGCTTAGCCACTGGGTTAACAACAAAAGCCTACATCGACGCTGGCGTTATCCCAGGTGCTAAGGTAAGTAGTAGATGCTGTCTCCCTAGGATGCTGCTGTTCTTTGACTGACATAAGTTGCACTACTGCACAGCACTTCCTTCTCTACGAACAGGAAACAAATCGGACTGGCGGCGGCGGCGGTAGTGGTCCTGGCGGCGGCGGTATGCCTTCCGGGGGAATGGGGCCCGGCTCGTCGAATACTTCATCCATGGGCGCGAAGCCTACAGGATCAATGGGCCGTCGTGCTGCCAGTTCCAGTTCCGAGTCGGATAGCGGCTCGGCACCATACTCTTCCAATGCCGATGACAAGACTCTGCACGAGACGTATCTTTGGCCGTTCTATGACGCAGTCAAACATGGTCTGGGTGCTGTGATGTGTGCCATGACGAAGTTTAATGGCACACTAAGCTGTCAGAACTCCGATTTGTTGATGAAGCATTTGAAGACTGAGCTTGGCTTCCCGGGATTGGTGTGGCCTGCTCGCTCGACGGCGCCGAAGTCCCCCAGCTCTACCTCGGATTCCCCACTGCTGCGCAGCAACCCGTTCGCCAGCTCCGTGGCTTCGAGCGCGTCGAAATCGCTGCTGGCAAGCAGAGCGAAGTTACCTTCAAGCTGCGCCGTCGTGATATTTCCTACTGGGATGTCCGCGCCCAGCAGTGGCTTGTTGCTTCGGGTGACTACAAGGTCTACGTGGGTGCAAGCTCGCGTGATCTGAAGTTGAATGGCACTTTTGCTGTTCAGACTTCGTCTTAGATGTAAATTAGAACTGGGAGGGCGGGATCCTTTTGTCTCTTCTTGATGGATAGCGGATATATTCTTTTCTAAGTGATGTATATAGCGGCTATTCCATTCCTGTTGATTAGGACTTTTTCACCCTTGAATGATTGTTGAAATGTACTTTCCTCGGACTTACAATAATACGGAACACAATCGAACAGCTACAGAATAGACAGCTCTTATAACTACTATAATCTAGTATATTGAGATTTTCCTTCCTCACGTTCAACAACATGGTTGACCATGAACATACTACACATCAAATCATATCAATCATAGCTCAAAAGATGCTACAAATACATCATCGAGCATGTTGAAAACCAAATTAGTATACACGTGCAAATGAACACCCAGTGACCTGTAATATTACAGCTTGGCTCCTGGCTTTTCTGCCTCCGTGACCCAAAGGAGCAGCTCATCTTTCCCAAACTCTTCCATAACTTCAACAGGTAGGTTCACGCGGACTTCCCAATTGCTCTCTCCTCTCTTGGTAGGAACTCTGTCAGGTAGAATTAGAGTCAATCCATCGGTTCGACCATCGATAGTATCAAAGTCCAGCAGTGGCCCCAGTTTCGTACCCCAGTCTGAGGCATATATGTCAGTTTTTCTAAGGCTAGACATTATGATCTCCGCAGGGGCACCAGAAACTGATGAGAAGTCATCGCACTCTTCTACACGGCCTATGAGGCCACGGATCTGCTCGTCTTGAATGGACTTGCATTTGGCTCGAGACATCAGAGCTAGTTTGAGCAAGGCGTTGATTGTTTCTTTGTCCATACTTTTCCGGGTTAAGGGAAAGGCTTCCTGTGGAGTAGGGATATCTTTCCACTCGCACTGGGTTTTCGCTAACACGAGGCTATTCCCCAGGTAGCTTCTTGGAATAGGAGGCTGGAGTACTGAACGAACCTCTATATTTCTGGATAAAGAGGATACGCGCGGCAAGTCTGACGAATGCTTAGAAGCATGTCGACGACGAGCGCGGGATACAGAGAGCCATGCTAGAGCAGTTACCAGATCGTCACTTGAGATGTCTTCAAGTTTGTACTGGCTTCCAGTTGGTGAGGTTTTCTGTGATGTTGAATGGCCCTTGGCAAACTCATGGGCAAGTTCGTTGCACGAATCCTTGAGATAGTTGACTCTGTCTGTATGCATAGTATAACGACGACAGATGATTGAGTTGGCCTGGCGTCCACGTATTTCCTCATAGCTAATCTCACAGTATGCATCCTTGAGGTCGGGGTTGCTGGTGGTGGTGGCTTGGTTTATCCTCCTTCTTGCCTGCTCTTCTTTATCGAGGTCCATCGGAAGAGGTTTGGGAGCGGCGCTCTTTCGATCCCGTCCAGAGCAAGACCGAGCCAGGGCGTGCAAGACTATGGTGACGCCTAGCGAATCCATTACCTGGTGATGCCAGGCGAGGCATAGAATGAGGCCGTCTTGCATGACATTGGCCTGAAACCGCACCGCAGGTATGGGGTTGGAGATCGAGAGAGTCTTCGGAACGTTTAGCATTTCATAATCGATGATTGGGGAGGCTAAAGCATCTGATATGGTGTGTTGATGGCGTTTGACACGTAACAGGGGGCATTGGAGGAGGTCCGATGTTGTCGGTGGCTGCAACTCTGTGACATTTATTCTGTTGTTCTTCTTCACCCTAGCAACATTACCGGCCAAAAATGGCCACTGGGATATCAAGTTCGATAGGCCCGAATCTATCGCATCAACTGCTTCAGACAGCTGTTCAGGCCGAAAAGACATATAAGCGAACACATGATGAGGAGGGAGCAGGTGGTCCAGAGGCGTGAGGGTATAAGGCTGGAACGACGGAGTATGAGTTCTGGCGGTCATTTTTGTATATCGAAATATGCCGAGTGTCGTGAAGGGATGGGTCTTTGAGATCCTATTTATAATTAACGCCGTGGAGTATATAAAATTCGAAAACCTAGTCGAATGAAGATAGAAAGTCAATTAACCTTACGCGCAGATGATGGCATCTTAAGCTTTCAATTAACGTCCTGTAGCCAGGTTTCGTCTGTATTTTTGAACAGGTTTCTTCGGGGTTAGAGGAGGCCATAGCATGCAGATAATGAGTGTCATATTTCGCCTACTGTCCAATTTATGGATGTGGCTCGTGGATAGCCAGTTGAGAATAGGTTGTCGTCTGTAAGCGTATCCCATAATTATAGTAGGTAGAAGCACGCGTAGTAGAGATGGAGTATAGTAAGGTTTAGTGTCCATAAAATGCTCCATTGAGGAATTGATCTGTTTTAGATTGACAGTGATAACTTGTATGATGTTTGGCCAGGCCTTACACCCAGCTCATGTATAGTTCTGATTCCATTGCTAACTTTCTGATACAGTATACCTGGGTGGTCATCATTGATCTCTTGCACACTTGAACTAGAGGTAGTCGCGATAGTTCATCCCACGTTTTGATCGAGCCGAAGCGTAATTGCTCTGCAGCGACTAAATCTAGTATCATCTACTCCAGTATAAGGGGTTAATGTCCTGATGTTAGGGAGAGTGATGGTGGTCTCAGATGGTGGGGAGTTTTTCGATTCTAGAATCCAGACGATGCAACATCGTATCCCAAAAGGGACCCCGACATCATGACTCAGCAGAATAACCCTCTTTCGACCAAATAACTATTAGCTAGTTCTAAATCTCAATAACTTCAAAATACACTCAATTGAAGGCAAATACGAGCTTGAATATTATGCAAATAAAAGCAACATGTCCGACAAAGACCTCCTCAACATCGTATCCCAAGAACTCGCCGGGACTCGGTATGCCTCGTCCTCTCTAACCCCACTAAGCGGGGGAACCGCCAACTTTGTCTATCGGGCTCAGCTCGATCAACCGCTCCCAGATGGAACAAAATCCGTTATAGTAAAGCATACGGAGGCATTCATTGCCCTTAATCGGGAATTTAAACTCCCGGCTGAGCGCTGTGTTGGTATCCCCTTGTGAAGTCAAACAGACTACAACCATTGAGTTAACATATTTCATATAGCTTTTCGAGGAATCTATCTTGAAGGCCCTCGATGGGTTCTCTAGCATACTTGACACTACCAAGAATACTGAGCCACACGCTAAAGAAGTGATGGTCAAAACGCCTCGTCTCTTCTCATTCAATCGCGAAACCAACACTGCTGTTATAGAAGATCTTCCCGATTCTCTGGACCTAAAGTCCTTCCTAATCTCCTCAGCTACTTCCAACAACGTCACTCAAGAATGGGCTTCTTCTATAGGCTGTTCACTAGGAGCATGGCTACAATCATTCCATCACTGGGCTGATAACGCGGCCCAATCAGGGGTGGCGGCCGAGATGGACAAGAACCAGTATATGAGAGACTTGAAGTTCATGGTCAACTACGATGCTCTGGTGAATACAATTGATAAATACCCGACAATACTTGGAAATTCCCGGTATGTGTTCAGCAAGGTTCGGGAAATGGCGACCGCAGAGCTGAGTCGAAAGGATGGAAATGGGTTTGGGATCATTCACGGTGATTTTTGGTCGGGAAAGTCCGTACCTCCCCTGCCTTGATAGAACGAGGAGCAAGCAAGCTGATGCAACATAGTGTCCTTATCCCCAAAACGGCCCTCGAGCAACCAAATCACCTTCCATTATTTATCATCGACTGGGAACTTTGCCACTGCGGTGCTCGAGCCCTCGACCTTGGCCAGATGTTCGCTGAGCTCTACCTGTTGAAGCATTTCAAGGACATCGATGCCGCGACGTGGATTATCCAAGGCTTCATGAAGGGATACCAGGACCTGGATGATGAGACGGCCTTTCGGGTATTGATCCACGTTGGCGTCCATTTTATTGCCTGGGCACCTCTAATTCCTGGCTGGGGTACCTCGCAGCAGGTTGAAGATGCTGTTCGTCTGGGTAGAGATATCGTCACCAAGGCATGGGAAAAGGACAGGAGCTGGTTTGAAGGGGTATGGAAGTCACTGTTTTGAGATCGGTAGATCGTTCAGAATCTTAAACCCCTTCTCCATGTATCTAATCAGCTGTGATACTGGGTGACAGGGTGAGATACAATTCACCTAACTGGCCCCACCCTCGCACCATAAACCAAGCTATCAAGGAGACTTGACCGAGAAACCGTGCACATTTCCGGTTGATTCAGTGACAGAATTCCCTTTTCTAAGAATAGGCGCACCCTACCTCATTGGGCACTAGGGTCAAACGGCGGGCTCTTCTGCACTCCAACCTCAGTGATCGTGCTTTTACTTACTCCCAGCATCTCGTCATCAGACACTGACCACCTCACTGAATACCTACAAGCCATGGCTCCATCTAAGAAGAAGCGAAACCAGTCCAAATCCAAACCCTCATCATCCAAACGTCGCAAGATCGTGGAGACAGCTCCTGAGACGCCTAACCAGTCCGAGAAGACTGTCCCTCAACCGACCGTTCCACTCCAGGCTCAGCCTGTGAGCCCGGTAGATTCATTGTCCAGCAACGTCTCCTTCAAGCTCCATCAACGCCTCGAGCGCTATGACGACCTTGAACCGTCCGGCATTATAGTCGACGTTGAGCCACCGGATGATATCAAAGAATATGCATATAGCACGGTCTTGGGTAGCAAGAAGCTCCGAATGGTAGAGCAGAGCAAAGTAGTGGAAGCGTTCATGGCGAAGATAGCTGAACTCAGCCGCAGAAACAACATGAAACATGAGTGGGTAGGGCTCATACATAATGCCATTCTTCACATGAACCTAGAGAACAGGGAAGCGTTCAGGACTGTTGAAGATAAAGGTATGTGAGACAAAATTTCCCCAAGTTTTTGGTTATTTTTAGCACCATGTCTGACATCCCAGAAAGAGTTGCATAGAAACATAATGCCAAAGCCCCTACGGAATCTAGAACACCGTTCTCGACCTGACATTTGCGTTGGGTTGAGCGAGTCTCACCTACGAGAGATCCTATACAAAGACCCGGACGATGCAGCTGCGAAAGAATTCTGGAACAAGTTGAAAGAAAAGGATGGAGTGATCAGTGATCCATATGCGAAGCCGCAGTATCTGCGCTTTCCATTCTTCATCGTGGAAGTCCGGGCCGACTTCAACGGAGATAATCTGCACCAGGCCCAGAATCGAGCTGCAGTTGGTGCTTCTGGTGCACTCTGGATGCTTCAGATGCTCTCTGAATATAGGAGTGGTACGAAAAGCGCGAAGTCCAAGAAGGGCTTTGATGTTACCAATCTTCCGGTATTCTCACTTGTTTCGGAGGGCGCTACATTCCAACTCTGGGTTCATTACCGGAAAATGGTTCCGGGGAATAGCATGGACAAGATTGAATATAGTTCTGCACATGTCAAGTCATGGCATGCAAATGGTGAAGAAGCCTGTTATAAGATTCTGAGAAATATTTACGCCATTCTAAGATGGGGAGTGGGTGAATACAAGTATAAGGTGGTTGAGGCGCTCAAGTCATATGTGTGATGGCTCTTTTTCGACTGTTGATCTTGCTGGTAAGGGTTCTTCCTATTTGCTTCAACTGTTCTACAGAAAGAATGTGCTGATCCTCTGGTTTTAGAGTCTCTGCTGTTGACAGGAGAACCTATGTTTCGGCACTATAAGATCATAAACCCCCCTCCTTTCTTGGCCTCATATTTGTTACATTTTGTCTAAGAAATTGGTTGTTTTGATATGTTAAGAAGAATTCAACATCTCTCTGTTTCTGGTTACTGATAGGATTGTTTCATTGGTCACTTTAATACTGACTGTTTACGGACTACAATTTCTTTTTTGGGCCACTGGACATTCCTTCATTTATCAATACTTCACACTAACATCGCTTACCATCAAAAACATACGAAGTATCAGAAAGCTTGCTATACTTGTTGATAGTCATTCGATAGCTTCAAAATTTCCTCATATACCAAGTTATGAGTGTTACGAGTCTCTTTGCAGTAGACGCTATATGCATTCTACGGACAGTCAAGTCAGGCTTGCAAGTAGTAATGGTTACCGCCATGTCTATTTCTCTACAAAGAACAGAGATGCTAGGATGTATACTCGCATTCCAGATGTCGCTCGGTTCATAGTTTGGCACGGTATGTGCTTCGGATACCTTCCAGCCCTGACGGTCCATCGTAGATTTGCTGTTCTACAAGGCGGGTGTTGATCTGTCGCATAGTCAGTTAGTGCTGGAAAGACGACAAAAGAAGTGGAATGCAGCCGACACTTACATGTTGGGGTCCTAGATCCTCCACACGCTCAACACCGAGTAACCGCATGCATGTCTTGGTCTCGTCGGACAGAACTAAATATCCAAAGTCAGCAGATGTCCTATTTGAATCTCGGATCCATATACGTACTCTGCAGAGTGCGCTTGACACCCTCAACACCACCGGCTCCTAAGCCCCACAGCGCAGGGCGTCCAATACCGACGCCCCTTGCGCCCAGACAGAGTGCCTTGACAACGTCTGTGCCACGGCGGATACCGCCGTCAATCCATACTTCCAACTTATCAAAGACCTCCGGGCAATATTTCCGGATTTCGAGTAATGTGTGCACAGCTGGAGGGGCGGTGTCGAGAGCACGTCCACCATGGTTGGAAAGGATAATGCCTTTAACCTGGGGAGTGTGAAGGGATGCAATGTAAGCATCCTCGTGAGTCTGAAGACCCTTGAGGACAATGGGTAGGTCGGTCTGCTTAGCCAACCACGGCAGAGTCTCCTTCCATGTGAGGGTTGGATCCGTACCCGCGAAAAGCTGACGTCCGACACCTCCCCCTCCGTTGTTGATATCTTTCGAAGACTTGTCTGCGGCCTTTGTGGCGCTCGGAACTGGTGCTGATGCGCCCACGGTGTTGCCGCGCTCGTCGTCCTCTCTCTTTCCAGGCACAGGCGCGTCCAGAGTGAGAACAATGAACTTGATCGCCTTGAGCTTGTTTATGCGTACCAGCATGGCCTCACTCTTCTTCCGGTCTGTTTGGACATACAATTGCCATCCAAATACTTGGTCTGGTGCGGCGTCCTGCACGATCTGCTCTGGGGTCATTGAGGCGTTGTTGGAAATGATCTGCATGGCCCCGAAGCTGCGACAGGCCTCCGCAATGCCAGCTTCACCTGCTGGGTGGCCCAAACGAGCCATGGCTGCGGGGGAGACGTAGATGGGCATGCCGATCTTGTTGCCCAGAGCTGTAGTATCCAGGTCACATCGCGTGCAGTCGATGAATACCCGTGGTCGCAGCAAGATGGATCGGTAAACTTCAGTATTGAAATGTTTCGTGATTTTGTCGTCAGAAGCTGAGTAGTAGTAGGCCCATGCCTTCTTGCTGACATTTCTGGTGGCCACTTGCTCGAAATCGTCCATGTTGAGTAGACTCTCCATCGGAGGCGGGCCTTCCTTTTCCCCCGCATCTGAGGCCGGCTCCGCTTGTACTTTCGGCAGCGTGTCGGCATTCACCGTTCCCAAGAATGCTTCGGGCTTCAAATTCTCCTCCAGAATGCCCGGAGGGTGAATAGGGTCGTATTCCTCTGTGGCATCTTTCCCTGCAAGCTTGAGAATTATCTTGGCACCACCAGGGTGCTCTGAGAGAAAGTCGGTGACCTGATTGAGTTGGAGTGTTTAGTTTCGGTTAAGCCACAAAAAGATGTATGATTGGGTGAACATACATCGTAAACTTTTCCGTAGAGTATTACCCAGCAGCTCTCTGGAGTGTTGTGTTTTGCGACTGAGGGTCTTCAGTTAGTTTCAAGACTGTGACTCTATCTTGAGATGACAATTGTGCGCTGCATGGGGAATTCCGGGGTATACTAACCTTCCGCCGCGTCGAATACCTTGCTCATCTTGCTATTCAAAGAGATGCTTGGGTCGTAGCAATTGGTTTTGTTACAATTGTCGAATGTGACCCGCGAGAGGGAAAAGGAAAGAAGAGATGAGGAGAAATCAAGGATAGTCAAGAGAGGAAAAGACGGTAGAAGATGAAGTGTTCGGAGCGGTGGCCTCGAATTGTCTCCTCGCATTCAACTAACCCGGTTAAACCCACCCCCATTTACGGCTCGGCCTGAACTCCGACGAGGAGACAAAGTTGGGGGCGGCGATTGAAATGCCGCCTGTTTTGGGAAATGTCGGTCGCCGACGGGGACTGCTTAGAGAAAGACGATCGGCCATTGGTGGACAATCCGGGGGCCCTTGATGTCATGGCTCAAGCCTGTCTCCAGTTTTCTCTCGGAAAAGTACTTATCTTAGTATGCTCTTGAGCTTCATCTCTTTAATATGAGTAATCCATTTGCTACTCTACAATTGACCCAGGATCGCAAGTCCTCCACGTAGCGAAAAGGCTATAGGCTACAGGCTACAGCAGACGATGCAGCGTAATGCCAAGTTGAGCCACCAGGTGCCATGGTCGCGTGCTATTCCTCTTCCAGTGCAGCTAGACCACGTGAAAGACCAGGCTGCTTAGCTTAATCCCCTCATCATCCTTCGACTTGCCCAACGTCCATCTTAAATTTTTCATGTCGACTTGTCGACTTTCGAGGTGGCATACTTTTTGGGGCCTAACTTCAACCATATCGGAAGTCCCCTCAGTTCGCTTCTCATCACCAAACGAGGAGCCAAACAGTCGCCCCTTCACTCCAGTATCCCGTCGATCGGAGAACTCGAGTCGTACCACTCAGATATTACATGACACGTCATGATGTTTGAGGTGCGTTGGCTGACTGGCGATTACCACACGGCTTATTCTTCCTACAATGAGATTTGCATCTATAATGATGTCTCTGTACTGACTGGCTCCAGCGTCGCGCCGCGGACCGTTACCGGCTGCGGATGCACCGTGCCCGCACAGTCGCGCTAACTTCGGATGAGATTGTCGAAGTACGAGCAGCGCAGCGGACTTTCGAAGGCGCCTACATCCGTACAGCTTTATCCCAGTTCTCTTTCGCCCTGGTGGTATTGAAGATCTTCACCAGCGAGTTCTATAGCACTGGAGCGCTTTTCGCCATCTACGGCACGGGCGTGCTTATCATCGGACTCTTCCGTCGTCAACAAGGCAATCGGCAATTCTTTTCCGAGATAGGGGAGGATGGCATTCGTCACAAGTTCAGAACTAGTGGAAATGCCGTGGTGGTGTTGACGGCCCTTAGCATTGCCGCCTACGCGACCCTTATCGCGCTGACCGTGAGGCTGGACAAATAGGCGGTCACGCCTCGCCAAGACACTTTAGGCAGTATGTCTACAACCTACTGCGTACCTGCCAAGTACATGCAGGATGCGACGGGCTCATCCTCCAAGTGCAGTCGAGAGACGTGGCACGCGGGTGTGCCGAGCCGACTTCCGCCAACATCAAGCCATATCGACGTTCCAGCGCAAAGTTGAGGGGTGGCCCGACAGGGATAAACTTGCAACACGAGTAAGACATTTCCTGCCCGGGTATGTGGGACCTGCGGTTCATGACGAGATGGAGCATTACCGCTCTCAGTCACCCGAACTGGCAGCCTCACTGTCTAGGATTATCATGTTGTCTATGCTCGAACCATTGCCTGCAATGCTCGTAACTCGTTACACGGTACTCTATGTCGCTGCTACGGGAGATGATTACCGGTCTAGTCCACTCCAAACTATGGTGGCGCTACTGACGATACGTAACGGTCCGAAGCGTGCTCGGGACGGCGTGTCGAATAGTCGGATTGGTCTGCAGTTCTCCTTGCAACATGTCCCGAAGGGAATACTTTCTGTACATTACCTTCTTGTATGGTTAATCTGTCTCTTCGTATTCAATTACTCATGGTCTAATTCATACATCTATTCACGACCCCTTCCCGACTTCACCAGCTCTTATGTAGCCCTCCAATATATAAACTGCAGTATCCTCCGTATCCAACTCTTCTCTTCATAAAACTCCCATCATCTTGGATACGTGGCACCTTAATAGCCGGGTCGATGAATTTGATAAAATGGATAGCCAAAGTATCATATACATTAAAAAACCAGTTACAAAAGCCTACTATCTCTGGGAAAAGTTGACCTTGACTGTTGTAGATGTCTTGCTCATCGACATGACTTATATACTTCTATTGGCTTTCAGTGACACTATAAAAGGACGAGGTACACTCCACAATGAGTGCCTTATCTGTTGAAAGAAATATGGTCCCGAATATAATCAATGGAATCTCTAGGTAAAACCATGACACAACTGCGTTGGCTGAGCACTTTCAACTGGAAAGAGAGACCAACGTAAAATATGAACGATCTGCAGAAACGACAAATAAATCTCATTCGTACTATGGACAGTCGTCTAGACGCAGAATTGAAACTATACAACAGTATCAGAGCAATGGTACTGCACTGGCGTGTTAGCACAATACATATGACACACCATTACGGGCTGCACAACACCCTTAAGGGCATATTATCGCGGACATGCCACAAGATCTATTGGTGAACAGAAGAAATCTTGGGCTATATTTTTAGAGAATTATCCAGTCACCAGTGGCGATATCCTCTTATTAAATAGAGCGAGTTATAACAGCGCTCTATCACACTAATCCTCAGATGCTAGAGAGCCGATACGGACCACAAACTGTCAGGTAGTCTGCAGCGAGTAAAGAGTCCGTATAATACAACTACCAAAGCCCATAATTACTAGTGGATGTCCTTTCGATATCAATGGCCTCTGCGTTAGATGGCCTGGTCTCAAAGACTGAAATTTTCGACTACACTACCTATGCTGGAGACGATGTCTCTTCAATTAGTGAGGGACTCAAGATGTCCCTTCTTTATTGAATACATTGCGAGAGTTTGGCCCAATTACTTTTGTCCTTATTGGTTCAAGTTAAAGCGTCCTGGAAGACGCTAGTCTAGCGATCTGCAAACCTATTGTGGCTGCTTATAGAGTAGCTATAATGGCAATGGTATGCAACCAACTCAGCGCTGTGATATATGAGTATATATTACCTTGGAGGTTGAAGGAGACCGACGTGTGGTCACAGGTTGATGCACTTGATCATCGGACTGGGCAGAAAGTGGCCGATATACAGAATTTAGTTTAGATGTCCAACGAAGAGTCAACCGCAATCAGCCATAAGATACTGGGTAGTCTGTTGGTACCCTAATACTGACATCTAACATAGCAAGTAAATAAATTCTGCTATCATCGGCATTATGTTTTGTGCCAAATGGCAGAAACGCCATGGAGTCTCAGGAGAACGATTGTTATTCTCTTGCGAGATATATATTTATCAAAGAGGAGTGTCTGGGGAGACGTCCAATAAGTGATGAGACAGGAGTACAAGGAAGATTCAATCAGAATATGGGACAGGCTATGGGGGGCATGTTTCTATCAGAAAGTCTTGATATAAAGTTCAGTGACTTTGAGACTTGAGTCTTGCATGAGGCCTACAGTCGAGTATCAGACTCATTGGTACGAAATATAGCCGGTTCTCCTCTTGCAGTTGGGGAATTTAAAGTTCCATGGGTTCCATTGCATAAGATAAGAGATACTCTGAGCAATAGAGAGGTTTGCTTCAGACACTTGGTTGGCAAATCATCACTGGCATATGGAAGTATGGATATGACATATGGAATTCAAATATAGCAGCTCACAAGTTAATGTGGTATCAAATGTATATACAAGACGATAAGTGGCTGGAGGTATAGCCAATGTGCATACTACTTTTCGGCCAGCAATAGAAGAGAATACTCGTCATGTTTTGGCCCTATTAATCCAGAACAAAGAGTGCTTAGTACTAGCCAAACTTGAAGCGAAGGGTTCTGAAACGTAGCACTAATGTAACTCAACCTATTATAGAAATATCCGGTTGCAGTGTAGAAAGCGAAGAGCAACAGCTCTTTGTTTGAATGCCTAGCGGATGCTGATAGCTGTCGCTTCGTTTAGCTGAATCGGGACAGGGAACTGCATGTCCTGCAGACAGCCGGCTTGGAGTTAAACCACAATCCATGGCCAGATTGTGAAATAGATCGAACTACATTCTGGGAAGTAAAATGCTGACTCGGTCGATATCTCCGTCCACTACTTTTGCTCGCATCCGGACTGAAAGGATTAGGTCGTAGATTTTGAATCGATTGAACACAACAACCCGATATATACGGAGAAAATACGAGGCCGAAACCAGCAAGACTGGGTAAGCTGCAACGGAGATGATCGGATCTGTACAGTGCAGGACAATCTGAATGAAACTTGGAAAGATTGTTGACTCGCCTTGCTGGCACTAAGACATCTGACACCCTTACCTAGGCCAAGCATTCTAGATTTTCTCGGTGACTATCGATCGGTACTATCTATCTGCAAACTTAGTGCGGAATTTAAAGGATTCACTTTAATGGTTGTTTTATTTGCTTTTAGCTCTATGATCGACAGTGCAGAATGACTAGCGGACCTGGTCGGACATTCTGTAACCGCAGTAGACTAGATACATAGTTAAAACCGGGTGTACCAAGTAGTGTTACTTTCTAAATATGTACTTTGGTACATAAGTCCACATATTGTAAGAAGTAGCAAATTAGTGGATATGATTTGACATCATGGGGTGGCCATGGATTGATCAATCCGCGGAAAAGCTCCACCGTTTGTCATGAACGAGTGGGCGGGAGTGACTTCATCAGCAACGGACGTGACCCTCTTATATGCCCGGTCGCAGTTGGAATCTCTTTGACCTCCAAGACCCTCCGTCAACCCAGACGATAAGAATCATCCAACCGAATTAGCCTTTCCCACCTCGTGCACAAAACCCTGGCCTATAACTTCACTTATTAGTTTCAACTGCGCCCTGCAGTTTTGCCTTCGGAAGAGCCGGAATAAGGAGCTTTGCATTGCATGGTTCCGCCGCCCTGGAAGAGCGTTGCGTGCTGTGAACTTAGCCCCGTTCTGCGGGATTCTGCCAGCGTCTATCTAACTCAAGAAGACGCGGTGGTGCAGTTGCTACCGCGTGGTGGTATAAAATTCACGACCGCGACTGTAGGGTCTCTCTCTCTCTCTCTTCAGAAAGAAGTGGACTGGCTTGCATTCACGGAAAGAGCGAGCAAAGTGACGAGTTGTGTGCCGAACAAGTGAATTTGAAGTGACGTTTGGTTGGGAGCGCGGATTTGACTCATCCCGCCCGCCTCACAGCGCGACGACCAACACAACATCTTCCCCCTCACTCTTTTTTCTCCATCCTTCTCCAAATAACTAACAGTTCCTACCCCTCGATCATCATCATCGCCTCCGTGAGTAAAGACTGTGGTTGACCTGGTTTTGAGGTCGCTGCCAGCATTAGATCGGAGGTGATTCTCACTGTTGTCATCCTCTCATTGGCTCTCCCTCTTATTCTGTTGTTCACCTATCAATTCATCTTTGCATCTCGGCTGCATCCCTGCGCCACTCGCGGGGATGTCTCAACACACCGATATTGCACGATCCGCCATCATGACGTGCGCGTCGGCCCCCGATCACCAACGTGCCGGTGCTCCAGGAAAACCAAATGGATCCGTTTCTCACTCGGGAACTGGGAAAGACGCTAATCTTATGCCTCCCCCCAAATCACTGGTCGGACGAGCGCTAGGCAACGAACTGCATTCCGATTCCCACAGGGGATCGCAGGTGCCCAAGGATGGTGTCGGGTTTGCCCTAACAGACACTCCGATTTCTACCGCACCCTCGTCTCCACCTTTGTATGTTCTCCCGCCTTTTCCTTGCTCCTGTTGGTCCGTTTCTTTTTCGTCTGCTGTCTAGATCTGTTTCGGGGCGTTTTGCTCTCGAAATTCTAGATCGTGAAAGCCCTTTTTTCTTTTTTTTTTAAGATTTTAGTTTATTATGTATTCCCCCGGAATGATCGACGGCTGTCAATTCGGGTTATATTGGCCCGGCTGATGACCCGGTCTTCCCCGCGCGTTTGCTTCCATACTTCCTTTTCTCCGAGTTCATCCTCTTATCTTAGTTCTGGGATTGGGCCATGTGTCTATCTTCCCGGGAGTCGTCTCCTTATTTGTCGCAGCTGTTTCTGGACACAGTCAGGAACAGAGTTTGTGGCGTTGCAAGCTAACTAGCTATCCACATTAGTACTGCCAATACTACTCCGTCGACCCCGGGTCGAATTCGTGCCACTACCCTCGATATCCCAGGTCTCACCAAGTCGAAGGTCTCTCCCGATGGACGTATTGCTCAACGTGATGTGGGCTCGAAACTGGTTATTGTCATGGTCGGCCTCCCTGCCAGGGGAAAGAGTTATGTCACGAAGAAGCTGGCCCGTTACCTAAATTGGCTGCAGCACGATACCGAGATCTTCAACGTAGGAGAACGTCGTCGTGTGGCCGCCGGAAAGTCTCCAGCTACCGATGGAAGACGTCCGAGTCACAGAGCCAGTACCATTCATAGCGAGCTCGTTGATTCCGTGCGTCGACTCAGTGTCAGCGTTGGCACCATGAATCAGCCGTCGAAGAAGAGTGACCTTAGGGCCGAAGCAGCTGCGAATGCCTCGGAGGTCGCTGTGACCTCGCCCCCTGAAGTTGAAGGCAACGTCCCGCCTTTCGATGGCAGCCTCCCGCCTCCTGCTGTCCCTACCAAGATCCTGGTTAACGGAAAGGAAGAGGATCCCTCCGAGAGCACTATCGTCCCACCGATGAATGCGTCTCCGGCCGAACAGGATGCCATACGCGAGGCATCTCCCGAGCCCATCGACCAGTCAGCCAATTTCTTCGACCCTAAGAACCAGCTGGCTGTGAAGCTGCGAGAGCAGGTGGCCTTGGACACGTTGGATGAACTTCTGGATTACATCCTCGATGAGGGCGGCAGTGTCGGCATTCTTGACGCCACCAACAGCACCATGGAGCGCCGCAAGGCAATCGTCGATCATATCCGCAACCGTGCTGGCCCCGAGCTGAACATCTTGTTCCTGGAAAGCAGCTGCGTGGACGCGGAATTGCTGGAAGCCAACATGCGTCTGAAGCTGTCGGGTCCCGATTACAAAGATCAGGACCCTGTCAAGGCCCTCGAAGACTTCAAACGACGTGTGGCGCTCTATGAGAAGTCCTATGTTCCTCTCGGCGAGTACGAAGAGAAGCACAGCATGGCGTACATCCAGATGATTGATGTTGGACGCAAGATCGTCTCTCATCAGACCCATGGCTTCCTTTCGTCGCAGGTTGTCTATTATTTGCTCAACTTTAACCTCTCCCCGCGTCAAATCTGGATTACCAGACACGGTGAAAGCAAGGACAACCAGCTGGGCCGCATTGGTGGTGACTCCGAATTGAGTGAGAATGGCCATCGCTATGCAAAGGCGCTGAACCGTTTCATCGACCATCAGAAGCAGCAGTGGGAGTTGGTTCAGAGACAGAAGGAAATGCTGCAGCGTTTGCCCCCTCGTGCTGGCGATAGCACTCCTCCCAACCCATCGTACATTCCCCGCGACCGGCCTCGCAACTTCTGTGTTTGGTCGTCGATGATGCAACGTTCCGTGCAAACCGTCGACTACTTCAATGAAGATGAGTATGATGTCAAGCAAATGAAGATGCTTGATGAGCTCTATGCTGGCCAGATGGAAGGAATGACTTACGATGAAATCCGCGAAAAGTTCCCTCAGGAGTATGCAGCGCGTCGGAAGGACAAGCTCTACTACCGCTACCCCGGCCCTGGAGGCGAAGGGTATCTGGATGTGATCAACCGGCTTCGCGCCGTGATCATTGAGGTGGAGCGGACGACCGACCATGTGCTGCTGGTCACTCACCGGTCGGTCGCCCGCGTCCTGCTGGCGTACTTCCGTGGCCTGAAGCGCGATGAGGTTGCTTCTTTGGATGTGCCTCTGGGGATGCTTTACATGTTGGAGCCTAAGCCGTACGGTGTTGAATTCAAGGCGTACCGTTACAATACCGATACGGACTGGTTTGACTACATTCCCGACTTCAAGTTGCAGCAGACTTCCCAGTACTAGACTACGCTAAATGCCCGGCCTAGCACGATTAGTGACATCTCTGCTCACCTTACAGATGCCTTCTACGAGCAATGACTCTTGACGACGTTTCTTTCTTCATTTCTTCAACTTTGCCTTTCTCTTCTGCTTTTACTCGGTGTCATGGAGCCTTACGCTGGACTGGTTGCCAGCTGTTGCTTCCCCCCCATTCCCTTTCGCATACGTGTATTATCCCGGGAGACGTCCAGTTGCGTATTCACTGGGTCTTGGCTTTAGCGCGCATTTGCTTACTCCGGCGCCGGAAGGGATGCCTTGTCTCCTCTTTCTGAATTCATCCGGGGATATTACTTGCTCGCATTTGTCAACTCGGGCGTTTGGGGATTCTCTTTGGGGTCGCAAATTCTCCTCCCCACTGCAAAGACTTATGGCTGTGAATTATCGGAGGACTTAATGGGGAAAAGGATGGCTGTCTTATAAGACTAGACTCCACTACGTTACACTTCTTCCTGCTTGTGTTACATATTTGCTGCCTCCATAGAGCAATGTAATTTGCATGGGATCAACAGAACCTGTAGATTTCCTCATATAGTCATCTAACATCGTAATAACCCCCCTTTCAAGTACTCTTCTTGACCTGCTCAAACACCTCCAAAAAGGTCTCCGGCTCATCCGCCCCTTCCACAGCATACTGTCCCTGAACCATATAGTACGGCACGCCCGTCACCAACTGCCTTCTCGCCTTCTCAGCCTCCAAATCAACCTCCTTCCCTCCCTCCTCCCCATCCAACAACCTCTCAACCTCACTTCTCTCCAACCCTGCCCCAACCCCCGCCTGCACCAACACCTCCCGCTCCGTCACATTCTTCTCCTCTTCAAAATACGCCCGGAACAACTCCTCCGCTACCCTCGTCTGCAAGCCCCCAATCACACTCTCTTCTTTCTTCTCTTCTACATCCTTCTTCTCCTTCTCCTTCTGCCCCGCATACCACATCAACCGATGCGAGTCCCGCGTATTCCCCGTCCTCCCACCAAAACTGAACTTGATGCCTTCGCTCTGGCCCACGGCACCCAGTCGATCGAAAATGGCAAGCGCACGGTCGGCGCCAAATTTCGACTTGTAGTATTCGGTCTTGTCCAGGCCGGGGAAACTCGGCGAGTTCGGGTTCAGGTAGAAGGCGTGCCAGGTTAGGGTGAATGTGTCTGCGGGGTGGGTGGCTTTGTGGGTTGTGATCGCGCGCATGAGGCGGCGGTAGCCGACGTAGCACCACTGTTTCGTTTTATGTTAGTATATATATATATATTTATATAATCTGTTTGAGAGAAGTTGTTGGTTTGGAGGGTGGGATGGGCCGGGTTATGAGGGGGGTAGGTTTAGGTACCGGGCAGACGGTGTCGGAAATGATCTGGATGTTGAAGTTGGTCATTGTGTATATTGACCCTTCTCTAGGTTAATCTTGTCTTGGATTAGGCAGAGGAAGATGAATCGTGAAGAAAGATGTAGCTGTATAGTTAGCTGGTTAATGGGGATATTCACAATGGATTTGTCAGCAGATTAGCAAATTGTGGGGGAGATTCAAACACATGGACTGCAATGGAAACAGTTATTGGTGATCTGCTTGTAGAGCCGACTTCCGATCCATCTATTAGCAAATATACTAGTATCGGGGCTGGTCTTCATCTGACCAGTTGGAAAGTGCAGTTGAGTACTAAGTACTAGTGATGCTGCGGGCTGATCCTCTATTCTTCTCCCCATATGACATCATCTCACCGGTTTTATTGACCGATGGAATTCCACAGAAGATGGTTGACATACTGAAGTAGTAGTATTCTCCTATAGGAGTCCAATGAGTGGACTTTTCTTCAATAGAGAGTCAAACAGAGTTGGTTCAACAATACTATTATATCACGCCCGGCACTGACGCGAGTCCGCCTTGGCCTCGACTTGCTGGCAGGGCTGGAAGGCAAGGCCCGAAGTGGTAGCCAACCCGACGCATGGCCTTGTACCATACGGCGCCTGAGACCGGGTGTTGCAAAGGTGCAATATCTGACGCATTGGCAAGTGATCGAGGAAGACTTTGGTTAGCAACGTCTACAGGGGTTCGGCAGTGTTATTCAATTGAGCCATCCTTTGTGATCGTGCTGACCGTGAACTCGTGCCATGACTCCTTAGCGCTGGAGCACGGTTGTAACGACAATAGGATCTAGGTACCGCTTTTTGTGTCCAGTGCGAGCATTTGGGGGAATGTCACGTTGCGCAGTTTGAAAGGGAGTTCGGAGATGGAAGTCCCCTCGGGGATCTGCCCAGTTGCATACGTCTTCTGGTAGATGGCTCCAATAGCCATAGCAATGTAGCCCGCCGCGGGGAAGATGACGCTGTCTCCGACAAGATGGTCGCGCAGCCAAGTGATGTCGCTTAGCCGCAACACATTCTTTCATGTTGGATTAGTCCATGGACTGCCGAGGGTTTTGCTACCAAGGAGGTCATGATAGGGGAACTTGCGGAAGCGCCAGTCGTGACTGGATTCGCTTTCGTGCCAGTATTTCACGGAGTGGTTCCACTGGTAGTTGGGTAGGTCCGACACAAACACAGGGTGAGCGTCGCCTCCTTCATCGTTGAATTTTGTCAGCGATATGGGGTAGCCCATGGAGAACAGCGTCCCAGCTGCATGTAGCAAGGCCGAGATCGCGTTAGGGCCGCGCTTCCAGGCCGAGACATACTTAACTGATGAGGAGGCGGCTTTTTTGGTCTGGTTTATTGGTCCGGATAGTGCGTCACTTAGCCCAATTTCGAAAAGGCAACCAACAGCCTCTGGTCCCGTTATCAGCTCATGTGCGGCCTGGCTAAAGAGCACAGGCGAAACCATGTTGGCGACCCAGTAGGCAGGCCCTGGTGGGGTTTCGAGTATCTTGCCGGTGGTCGACGACACCATTAGTGAGTGCTTCTTGTTCTTACTATGCTTCGGCCACTCGACATGTTGCCTCAACAGATTCTCATATCGCCCAGCGAGTACATCACCTTGGCCGAGAGGGTGACGCTCTGCGGGCTGTTAATGCAGGCAATCTCAATAGTAGTGCCCTTCAAGTATGGTAAGACCTGGTCAGGTCCAAGACCGACAGCCATCATCCCGACAGTTGCCTGGTAGACTGCTTCGGATGTAGCTTTACCCCAATAATACGCTATCAAGATAGCCTGCTCGGGGGTGATGTAGCCTGCCGCGACAGCTGCTGCAATCTCCCCGGATGAATGCCCGATGACCGCTTAAGGCACCACATCGGAAACCTGAACTAGAGCTAGCAGTGCCAGATGAAGTGCCGTGACAAGCAGCTGAGATAGTTCCAGACGATGGACCTGGGGACCATCGGCCGTCAACTCTTCGTAGAGCGACCAGGATGGCGCATCATGAGCGTCTTGTAGTATTCCATCCAAGTGCTGGATCGTATGCGCGGCTAGAGGGAATGTTTCAACGAGCCCTCTCCCCAAGATAATCAAGATTGTCCTATTTGGGATCAAATTATACATGATATCAGGACTGCTCTCATTGTAAACACAGCCTGGTCAGGTGACAGGACCGGGGGTGTAATCCCTCTTTATAAGACGTCCTCTCCTCCATCTGCTTTCCCCTCCTCCCTTGATTCCCCCATCTGGTGGTAATCTCTCCTCCCTACTTCTCCCTGACAATGTCCAAGGCTCGAGGGCTTGCTAGAGTTTCCTCAACGTCTAATTCCCGCACTGATGCGACTGGAAGCACTCTTGACAATGCCACTCCCGCACCCGCACCCTCCCCGTCCAGGGAGTCCGGGGCGCGTCTCACCACCACCACAATTGCGTGGACTATGATGTCGCTTTGTTTGTCTGTGCTTCTCTCCGCTCTTGACTTAACAATTGTTACTCCTGCAATTCCTGCTATAGTTGGCACGTTCAAATCTTCGTCCAGCTATATTTGGGTGGGAAGCGCTTATACCCTGGCCTACGCAGCCATAACGCCAGTATGGGGCTCGGTCTCCGACATCTGGGGCCGAAAACCCATCATGCTCATTGCAGTCGCCGTTTTTCTCATCGGCAGTCTTGTCTGTGCCCTTGCACCGCATATGGATGCTCTGATCGCGGGACGGGCGATTCAGGGATTAGGCGGCTCCGGAATGGGGATCATGGTCAATATTGTTGTCAGTGATATGTTTTCACTGCGAGATCGGGGGTTATATCTCGCAATCACTTCGCTCGTTTGGGCAGTTGGCAGTGCCATAGGGCCTGTTCTGGGTGGCGTTTTTACGTCGAGGCTCAGCTGGAGATGGTGTTTTTGGATTAACTGTAAGATGTTTCATCTAACCTGATGGCCCTTAGCTTACTTTCTCGACTGTTTAGTACCAGTCGGAGCCGTCTCCTTCCTGGTCTTGCTCTTCTTTATGAGGGTTCCGAGCCCTCGAACACCCATTGCCGCCGGCCTGAAAGTCATTGACTGGACAGGCACTCTTTTGATCATAGGCGGCTCTTTAATGGTACTCCTTGCCCTTGACTTTGGAGACGTCGTCTACTCCTGGTCTTCTGCAACCATCATCTGTCTATTGGTTTTCGGAACGGCAGTGATGGCGCTGTTCGTGGTAAACGAATGGAAGATTGCCAAAAACCCAATTATTCCAGTTTGGCTGTTCACCTCGCCGACCAAGATAGCGCCTTACGTTGTCTTCGCGTGTAATTCATACGTGTTTATTGGACAAGCATATTACCTGCCGTTATATGCGCAGTCCGTCCTGGCCGCAAGCGCGCTAAGATCAGGCCTCTACCTTCTACCACTAATTGTCTCATGTTCCCTAGCTGCGGCCGCAGCCGGGATCTTCATGCAGCAAACCGGGAAATATCTCCCGGTGATGTATATCGCCCAGGGCTTTTTGGTCCTCGGCTCCGGCCTACTAATTAGTCTTGATTTTGAAGCCAATATCACCAAACTGGTCATCTTCCAGATCCTAGTCGGTATCGGTGTAGGCATGAACATCGAAGCGCCGATCCTTGCTGCTCAGGCGGCAACCAGTATCCGGGATACAGCAGCTGTCACTGCGACAATGGGGTTTGTCCGGTCTCTCTCTACGGCTATTTCGGTTGTTGTCGGAGGTGTGGTGTTTCAGAATGAGATGAATGCGAAAAACGCGGGGTTAGCAAGCCAGCTAGGTTCCAGCTCTACTTTGGCCAGCGAATTCAACGGCGACAATGCCGCTTCGAGTGTGGAGGAGATTAGCACTCTCGGACTGGATGCAGTCCAAGAGGCCTTGGTTAGGAAGACGTACTTTGAGGCGTTAAGAATGGTGTGGGTCATGGTAGGTCATTGCGATATATCAACACGTCGCATTGCTCTCTTTCAAAACCTTCAGTGCATCTATGCTAATGTTATGCCCTGTATGCTATTAGTACGTGGCATTTGCTGGACTGGCTACCGTCCTTAATTTGTTCGTGCGAGCGCATAAGCTTCGGACTGAGAATGAGGGCGCCGTGCTGGGGGCCGACCGATCCAGGCAACAGGGGAGCCCCGCTGCTGGGGTCGCCGAATTGGAGTTGCGGAATGAGCGAGGCGATTAACGTTGGCTGTGGTGTTGACATATATACCCAAGGGTAAACGGGCAAAAGTCGTCGGTTGCAGCTACGCAAGCATCTACGTAGCCTAACCCGGGATTGGTTACGTCCTCCTCATGCAGCTGCAGTCATTACAGTTTTCTTATGGTCTTATGAACCAGATCTAGTGCATAGAAGATGTACGTGGTAGATTTAGACTTGATTGTCATATAGATTTGTATGCGAGATGCTTGAAAAACAAACGAAGGGACAAAGGTGTGCTCTTATGAGTCAATCCACAGGCTTCCTATCTCCAATTAATAAGCTGGCATCCTTCTAAACAGTCTAAATCAACATTCTGGCTTAAAGTGTGGCATAATGTGTCGGACGCCTAGCAGGAGCACATGATGAATCTAATAGTAAGCATGGGACCGATGCTAGTGAGCATCCAGAACCTCATACTAATGGCGGAGAAGCCTACGGATACCTTTCATGTGAACGGCTAGATCTACAGAATGGTGTCATCTACATAGAATGTCTCATAAATAGTATAGTAGCAATCCATCAGTGGTTGTTGGTAGAGAGGCACTGCTGCTCAAACTATATCCTGAAGGCCTTAAATCGGAACAGTTTCAGTAGTAACCGAAACACTATACGTAGTATATATACAGTCTGTATCGTTAGTGATTAGTATATATTATATTAGGATTACCTCACAACTAGTATAAATCATTTTAATATTGCCTTGGAGTTCCGTGATGTACTGATTGAACCATTGAAAGTCCGCCGCCTTTCTGACAAAAGATAGACGGGTTATATACTAAATTTGGCGGCATACGGCGGTTAATAGTGGCCATCGGGCAAGTAGGCGGGAGCTATCAGGCGGCAGGTGACTGACTTAGTAGTAAGGCTAGTATAGTTACAAAAGCAGCAAGAACAACACGGGCGCGATCCTCGACGTCATAGGACAGGCGGTGGAAAGTGGCAGACCGACAGTTACAATAAAGCAACTGTTTCTGGCATCCCCGCTCACCACATGGCATCGAATAGTTATTATTTGTTACCTGTTGACTACTAGTACTCTTTGCCCCTCCCCATACCCTCCCAGATCTCAGGAACCAGAGCCAGTCTTGCCTTGCTGCCTCCTCTCCATGATCATTTCGTTCCTTCTTCGCTGCCATGATTCCATCTGGGCCTTCCTCCATGCCACTATTCTCAATATCCCTCCATCCCGACTGTATATCTTCCCTACCTTGGCTGGTTCAGTCTGGTTCCTGACTCTGGCGTCTTTGCTTCTGACATGGCTGGCTCGTGGAATGCCCGTCTATCCGGGCCAAAGTAATCCTCATGTCGCGTGGGTGTTTTCTCTACCTCAATTACAAACTACATACTCGATGGATATTAATTTCGAGGATAGCTTCATCTCCGACATTGCCTCCTTCGAACTAAAACCCCTCTTCCTCATAGGTGCTTCTATGACCGCCGTAGGATTCGTTTTCACAGTAGCTGCCGTGCACGTCATGCGCTACGAGCCCGGTTTCGCCTTGGTGAAGTGTCCAGTTATCTCTGAAGAGGCTTCGCACAACCAGGGGAACAATAATACCTACGCCCATTCTAGCGACCACAACCACCGAAACGTCCATAACCACATAACCGGTGGCGGATATAATGAGGGAGAAGAAGAAGAAGAAGAAGAAGAAGAAGACCAAGAAACAACCCGCACTCTCAAAGTCATCTCCCTCCTATCAATCCTCGCAGCCGGAACAGCCAGCACAGCGCTCATCCTCCTCGGAGTGATGGATACATTCCGCTACAAATTTGCCCATCACATCTTCCTTCGCATCTGCTTCGGATGTCTTGCTATACAGTCGGCCGGCACCGCGATTGTTTACTCAACGGAGGTCCTGAGTTTCGTGTCGTATCTGTACCATTGGGGGGTATGGGGTAACGATTTGGGGAGGAAGAGGAGTACACGAGTTAGGATATTGTATGTGCACATTATCCCTCCTATTCTTCTGCACTACATCTCCAGATACACACATCGTTTCTAACATGCCGGGAATATATAGCGCATCCCTCTCCACCATCCTCATCCTAATACAACTCTTCCTCGGCGTGGCCTTTATCTCCCTCACCATTCCTGAGGACGCAAATGACTACAGAACAGCTGGTATCCTCGAGTGGATCATTGCGTTCCTGGGAACGATCTATCTATGGCTCTTCTGTGGGTTTTTTGATCGGTAGGACTCCTCCATAAACATCATATTATCACCATCATTACTGACCGCCAGCAGAACCTCCTTCGAAGGCTACGTCCCCAGCATATTATATAACGCGACGCCCCATGGCAAATTCCTCGGCCGTCCTGCAGTACCAGGGGTAGGAGTA